GGAGACCTCCTCTTGAGAGGGACTCAATTGTAGGTGAAACTCTGCCCTCACAAGTACTTATACCTACAAAAGAAGCAGTTATGGATGAATTAAGGGAAGTGACAATCCAGTATACAAGCTGTGCGGACCCTACTGAAAGCATGGCAAGGAAACAGAGAGTTCTACAGGGAGAAGCCAGAGGTATGATGGCTGATACAGCGGCTCAGATTCTAGCAGCCTCTCCTGTAATCTTTCAAGAAGAAGTCAGGGACCCAGATATACAACTAACTCCCCAGTTACCTCTGTCCCCTGATGTACCAATTCATCCAGCAGAGCAGGAAGCAACTGGAAAAGTGACTGCCAAGAAAAAGAGGGGAAGACCTCCACTAAACAAACCTGGCAATAAGAGTCCGCTGAGATTAACTGGCGCAAAATCTAGTAAAAGAAACAAGGAAATTATTCAAGTCTCTCCAAAAAGAAAGCCTACCGGAGATAAAGCTACTCCAACGGGGAAAGATGATCCCAATAACTACCAAAGAGTTCCTGCAAAACAAAGGCTATCTATTCCTGGTGATGTGGCAGGCCCATCAAATACCAGAGAACCTCCGCAAACAGTCCTCATCCCAGCAATGGTAAGGAAGAAGGTGGATTTTCAAAATCCACTTCCTCCTCTTCCTTAAAGGTATTGAGCTGGAACTGTTGTGGTTTGGGAAATCCCACAACAGTTCGTCGTCTTTCAGAGATGCATAGAGACATCTCTCCAGACATAATATTTCTCATGGAGACCAAGAACTCAGATGAACTTACTCTCAAAAAGCTCCAAGTATTAAAGTACAGCTCCTATAAGCTAATCTCTCCTCACAGCAGAGGTGGAGGAGGACTAGCACTCTTGTGGAACCAGGCAGTGGATATTGAAGTGCTCTCGGAGTGCTCAAACTTCATTGACACACATATTAAAGCAGAAGGGAAGTCTTTCTATGCCACTTTCGTGTATGGAGAACCTGAAAGAGCAAAAAGACAAGAAATTTGGAGCAAATTATCAGAAATTGGTAAGGAGAGATCTGATCCATGGTGGTTGACTGGGGACTTTAATGACATTATAGATACATCAGAGAAACAAGGAGGAGTAGAAAGACCTGAAGGATCCTTTGTGGATCTGAGAACTCTGATGTCAGAATGCGACCTTTATGACCTGAGGCATACTGGAAATTTTCTCTCATGGAGGGGCAAAAGACATGATCACCTGGTCTTCTGCAGACTAGACAGATCTATGTCTAATAGCAGCTGGGCAGAGGAATATCCATCTGGAAGAAGTGACTACCTGAGGTTTGAAGGATCAGACCATAGGCCTTTAGTCACTTATTTCGACCTGAAAAAGAAAAAAAAGAGAGGTTTATTCCGGTATGATAGGAGATACAGGAATAATAAAGAGGTAACAGCCCTAGTAATTGAAAACTGGAGAAGACAAGAGTATGAAGAGGTTGACCTTAAGATTAGCAGATGCAGAAGAGCAATCTTAGAATGGAGCAAACTGAAGCAGCTCAATAGTAAGAAGCAAATTGAGGTCTGCCGACATAACCTGGAGATGGGAATGATAAGTCCATTATCCAACACAGAGCTAATCACAAAACTCAATGAGGAGCTAAGCATAGCATACATGAAAGAAGAAGAGTTTTGGAAACAAAGAAGTACACAGTTATGGCTGACTCTAGGCGATAAAAATACTGGCTTCTTTCACGCTATAACTAAGGGTAGAAAAGCTATCAATAAGTTCTCAGTCCTAGAAAATGAAGCAGGAGACAAGTTCTATGAGGAAGAGAAGATACTAGAGGTCATTATGGAATACTATCAACAGCTCTTCAAATCGCAGGACTCTAATGCAACAGACAGAACAGCAACAGTAGAAGAGGCGATTTTACCTTGTATTTCTGAGGAAATGAATGAGAGCTTGATTTCTACTCCCTCAGCTGCAGAAATCAAGAAGGCTTGTTTCTCTATTCATGCAGACAAAGCACCTGGGCCAGATGGATTTTCTGCAAGCTTCTTCCAAACCAACTGGGACAGCATCAATGAGCAAATTATTGCGGAAGTTCAGAAGTTCTTCTCCACAGGAGTACTCCCCTGCAACATCAACAAAACGCATGTCAGACTAATCCCCAAGATCAGGAGTCCACAAAAAATGCAAAACTATAGACCTATAGCTCTATGCTCCGTGTATTACAAGATCATTGCTAAGCTACTCACCAAAAGATTACAACCCATTCTTTCAAGTATTATTTCAGAGAATCAGAGTGCCTTTGTCCCACAAAGAGCGATTTCAGATAATGTGTTAATCACTCATGAAGTTCTACACTATCTACATACATCAGGAGCAAAAAAGAGATGCTACATGGCAGTGAAGACTGACATGAGCAAGGCCTATGATAGAATTGAATGGAGCTTTGTCAAATTAGTGCTAGAAAGACTGGGATTTCATCAAAAATGGGTTAACTGGCTTATGCAATGCGTCACTTCAGTTTCCTACACATACCTGCTTAATGGCTCAGCACAAGGACTGGTGACACCACAGCGAGGCTTGAGGCAGGGAGACCCTTTATCTCCATATATCTTCATCATGTGCAGTGAGGTGCTGTCAGGTTTATGCAAAAAAGCCCAATCAGAAAAGAAACTCACGGGAATTAAAGTGGGGAAAGAAAGTCCGCAGATTAACCACTTACTATTTGCAGATGATACTATGTTCTTCTGCAAAGCGGACCAACAAGAATGCACTACTCTCTTGGACATCCTGCATAGATATGAAGTAGCTTCAGGACAAAAGATCAATACACAAAAGTTTGCAGTTACTTTCTCTTCAAAAACACACAGAGAGGTAAAAGACAGAATCAAGCTTCAGTTACGAATTGAGAAGGAAGGGGGTTTAGGGAAATACCTGGGACTCCCAGAACTGTTTGGAAGGAAAAAGAAGGATTTATTTAGCATGATAGTGGATCGGATCAGACAACGAGCTTGTAGCTGGTCTTCCAAGTTTCTCTCTTCTGCAGGGAAGGTTATCATGCTAAAATCTGTGCTAGCAGCAATGCCGTCTTATACCATGTCATGCTTCCAACTTCCTGCATCCCTACACAAAAGAATTCAGTCAGCTTTGACAAGGTTTTGGTGGGACACAAGTATGGAAAAGAAGAAAATGTGTTGGGTTGCGTGGAAAAACTTAACAAAGTCCAAAGGAGAAGGTGGTCTGGGGTTTAGAGACTTACAGAGCTTCAATGATGCACTCCTGGGCAAGTTGAGCTGGAGGATTTTAACCAAACCAGATTGTCTCCTAGCAAGAACACTGCTGGGAAAATACTGCTATAAGACGCCTTTTCTAGATAGCAAGCCTCCTGCAAACACTTCTCATGGGTGGCGGGGTATATGCGCTGGCAAGGATCTCCTCAAATCACAGCTAGGAAGACTTATAGGAAACGGAGCAACAACCAGCATCTGGAATGACCCATGGCTCTCCCTTAGAACACCACAAAGGCCAATGGGACCTGCACCGTGTAACAGCCATAATCAGATGGTATCAACTCTAATCTCCCCTGATATTGGGGATTGGGACAAGGAAAAGATAAGAGAAATCCTACCTGAATGGGAAGATGACATTCTTGCGATTAAGTTGAGTAGGTGTGGAGCAACAGATACTCATGCTTGGCTACCAGCAAAGACTGGCCTCTATACGGCAAAGTCAGGCTATTATGAGGCTGTCAAAGAAAAGAAGGAGACAACTCTAAGCCAGTTTCAAGAAGCTAACAAAGATTTCAACTGGTCAAAAGAGATTTGGAATATAAAGAGCTCTCCTAAGACCAAATTCTTTCTGTGGAAAGTAATGAGAGGGGCGTTACCCCTAGGCGAGAATCTAAAAGCCAGAAACATCAACACCGGAGCAGTATGTACTTTCTGCGGTGAGGAAGAATCGGCTCTCCACCTCTTTTTCCACTGCTCCTTTGCGACAAGAGTCTGGGATCTGGCCCCATTTAAGAACAAAATTGAAGGCAATCGGATTTCGTCTTTCAGAGCAGGGATCGAGACCTCAAAGCTCTTGACCTGCCTACCACCATGTGGAATTACTTCTGGCCCTCTTCTCCCTTGGATTGTCTGGTCGATCTGGATTGCTCGGAATCAGCAGATCTTCAATGATAGAACTGCCTCACCAGCGGATACGATAGTTCAAGCAATCAAGCTAGCCAGAGAATGGCAAGGAGCACAAAAGATTAAGTCAGAGAAAGAAAACAAGAGGGTTCAACGACAAATCCAAACCCGATGTGCGGAAGAGACTTACAATTGTAAGACAGATGCGGCCTGGTCTGAAGAAACTAAAGCTGCTGGATTTGGTTGGGTTTTGCATAGATCTGACGGATCAAAAATCGAAGGATCCGCAGCAGCAGTCCACATCAGCTCACCACTTATGGCAGAAGCAGTAGCTATTCTTCTTGCAACCAACGATGCCCTCTCGAAGGGGATCACAAACTTTTCCTTAGCTTCAGATTCCAAACAAGTAATTGAAGCCATCAGATCGGAGCAACACTACAACAAAAGTGTGCATTGATAGCACATTACGATAGCACGAATTTTGCAATTGCTATTAAAGATGGTATTTAAAAATTTGTAACTATATTATAGCATTTAAAAAACGCTAAGCCCTATAATAGCAACGTGGAAACCTAAAATCACTTATAACCGCGAAAACTTACCAAATATTTCACAAAAACCGCTCAACACTTAGCGAAAATTAAAAAAAAAAACCTTTTATGAACAGACAACCCTAATTTCTATCTTCTTCTCCTTTGGCGTTAAAAAAAAAAAATCTTCATCTCCTTCATCGTTCTCTCAAGCTAGTCCTCTTTATTCCTCGATTCTTCTCTTCTCCTCTCTCTTACTCTCTTCCTTTGATTATCCGACCCTAGATCTATTGGATTTTATCAATGTCGCTTCAGATTTCAGATCCATTATCTCTTTGTCACTGTCGCACTCATCCCCAGATTTGTCTTTTTCTTCTTCGATTCGATGAAATCTTCAGTTTCCATCTTCGTCGGTGGTCTGAGATAGCCATAAACCATAGTTTGATTTTGGTGGTTGAAACGTAGCTGAAATCCAAACCATCTTCGTGCTTAGTTCTTGGTAGCTGAAATGGTTTCTCGATTCAACTGCTTAATCCTCCTACCTCTGACTCGCCTCTCTCTTTCTCTTGGGTTCCACAGGTACGATTTTGTTAGGATTCACTAGATTTATTAGCAATTGTAGATGGATTTGGGTTAGATTGATTTAAAAGTGAGGAAATGATTTCGATTTAGACAGCAACAAGTCTCTATCGAGTTCCTCTTCTAGTGAGTTTGTTACATATCTAATTTCATTCCTCATAGAACTCTCCCTTTTCCTACAGTAATTTATTACTTGTTTTCCAGATACGTCGGTGGATCCTCAAATACTTCCATTTAGCGAGAGTGGCAAGAGAGCAAAGGTAGAGAAATAACCAAGAGACAGATATGTCTTTCCGCTTTTTCTTTGTTCTTTTTTCAATGAACATGATGGAGTCTTTACTCATGTAGTTTTTGAATTTTCAGGTTTTGGTTTTCTGTTGCAGGTTTAGTTTTCGAATAATTATCAGGTTTTGGTTTCTAAATTTGCAAGTTTTGGTTGTCCAAGTCGCAGGTTTTTGAGTTTCTAAGTTACAGTTTTAGTGAATTTTCAGATTTTTGGTTAATAACTAAATTTGCAGGTTTTGGTTATCTAGATCATATGTTATGGTTTGAAAAATTTCAAGTTCTGATTTCTAAGTTGCAGGTTTTGGTTTTTGAATTTTTTGGGTTGTTTGTATTGATGTTTGAGGTTTGAGTTTTACTCTCAGGTTTCATTTGGCGTTGATGCAGAAGTGATTTACAAGTTTTGGAGGTCAATGACATTGGAAAGACACATGATGGTACTACGTATCTTATACTTTGCACATGGAGTTTAAGTCTAAGGTCAAAACTGGTTAATAAAGACAGGTTCATTTCCTTATGAATCCTTAAATGCTTATTTAATTACGAGACACTTTCAATATTTGAATTGAGGTTATGATTTCTTATTGTTTCTTGTGGAGCCTTGATAGTTTAATAAAAAGAGACAAGGAGAGTTTGATCATGACCAGGTGAGATTTTACTTTTATACGAGATTTTCGTATGAATCTTTTCATTTGCAACTAAGGTGAGGCAATACCTTTCGTATAATTATCTCTTAAAGACTATGTAAAAGAGAATGTCTTTTCCGATTGTGAAAAAGGTTATGACTTAATATATCTGTTGACATTTTTGTCTATTTATGTTTTCTTGAAACAGAATGATTGGTAGAATTCCGGAAGTTATTGGTCTAATTCAGGTTATCCACAAGCTTCCCTTTCAGCATCAGGACTTCAAGGTAAACTAGTACTCTTTGATTTCTCTTGTTTTCATAAGGTTAGTAGCTGATTAGGTTGGATCATTTAGTTGATATACACTGCAGTTAAAGAAAATTTGAAGCTAATTAGCGTTTCTATCTTACTGCATTTTTATGACTATTGTTTAATGTTAGAGATTTAGATTTGGGGATTTTAAAGGATTGGAAACAAGGAAGGCAAAGGGTTTTGTGTTGCTTTGGAGAAGGCAGTGAAGTGAGAATTGCTTGAAATGAGACAACAATATAAGTTTTTGGAGGAAGAGAAAGAGCAAACCGATAAAGTTATTCGTTTATTCCATCTATTGCAGTAGTTATGATGTTGTTTGAGACCTTGTTTTGTTTTTACTTTGTAAAATTACAATTATGTATTTTTTTTGATGATGTATAGAAAGAAACATGGTTTTAACGAATTGATTTTTGTAGCATATAATTAATAGATTTCCAATTTATATATTTGGAATTATATAGCAATTCATCATTTTCAAATATAGCACATAATAATTGTTACAAAACAATATAATATAGCAAAAATTTAGAGCTACAAGACTATATATTAAAGCATTCGATTAGCGCTATAATAAAACGATTTATAATAGCATGTCAAAAAACGCTATTGTATGAGGTGACCCTATTATAGCTGGGGCAGAAATAGCGTTTAGAAAAACGCTATTGATTACCTATAATAGCGTTTATCGTGAGCTAAGAATACGCATTTTTCTTGTAGTGCAACCGCCGAAGGAGCTCCACGGGATTCTACACGATATCCTGTTTTTATCTTCTAATTTCATCAATGTTTCCTTTAATTTCATCTCTCGAAAAGAAAACTATGAGGCTGATAACCTTGCAAAACTCTCTCTGAGAAACTTGTTTGTTTGTGAGACCGAATGAGTAATGAGAAAGTCGTCCTTTGCACAAAAAAAAAAAAAAAAAAAACCAAATTCGAGTTGTACAAAATCAAAATTTTGGTGGACGTGAATATTAAAAAATATATGTGTAAATTGAATCGGTACATATTAATTGTTGAGTTATATAGTAAAATTTTTTTTACTATAAACGTCTTAAATATAAATATGTTATGTAAAAATAACTATAGATATAAAGTTTATATTTAGATATTTGATCAATTCCATCAATTAATAAGAATTTTTTTTTATGTGTCAACATTAAATAAGCTAATGTGTATTCATTTTATTTATAATATAACTTTGTTTTTCTTTGAACAAATTAGAAATCCATGTATCATAATTAAAAAAAAAGGATGTGTATTATATGTTTTAATTTGATTGGTTGTCTTTTTAAATTGATGCATTTTTTTAATAAATAGCTGATGTGACACAGAAATCTGATGTGACATGCTGGAAAGATGAGTTGTATTAATTGTTATATTTTGATTGGGTATCGTTTTTAATGATGTGTCAGTCTCACAATAGCTTAAAAAGCTGATGTGTCATTGCTGGAGAGACTCTTAGTAGTTTTATTGTATTGATAGTAAATTATACATATAAACTATATATACATACCAAAAATAATATTTTCGCCCGTTTCATTTTGAGTGTTTTGTTAAAATATTTCACACATTATAAAAAATACTAAATTTGTTTATTATACTCCTTGTCAATACTACATTTTTTTTTATTTCTTTCTGATTAATAAACTATAGTAATAGATATAAAACTGTAACTTTCTTTAAAATTCTATATATTGTACGTTTATACAAAACGATATTTTTTATTGAACAAATATCAAGTCAAAAAAACAATATTGTTACTATGAAATAGAAATGTAGAATATACAGTAATGCTGTAATGGATATTACATGAGATTCCTTATCTTAATTGAACAATGATTAAGAATGACTGTTGAGTAGCCAAAGATTAACACATCACTAATGGAAGCTAGCGAATGAGAGTTGGGTTGTTGAGGAACACAAAGTCTCTTTGCCTTTTTATTAAAACTCTTATCTTATCATAAATCATAACCATCATTACTCCACTAACCACTTTGGTCTTTGTCATTAACAAACTTGTAACCCTTTTATAAATATACCTTAAAACTTTAACCATTTTTTATTAGTAGTGTAGATATTTCCGATTATTTTTTGGTCTGAGATATTCCAGATTCGATTCGCTCAAATGGAATATTTCAATTTTTGCAATCAGGATGATTGGTCTGAAAAATTAAAACTGAAATGTGCTTGGGTAAAATTTTTGTTTGATTTTATTTTATTTAGCTCACTACTATTAAAATACTTCTTGCTAATACATACATGAAAAATTGTCAAAATATTATTTTGATTTTAGATGTTTTATTTTTGTTAACCAATGTGTACATATAATGATTTATTTTACTTCTAATAATTATGTTTTATTTTTGTTAACCAATGTGTACATATAATGATTTATTTTACTTCTAATAATTATGTTTTATTTTTATTTTCATTGGTATCATTCATAATGCTACAAATTGTTTCTATAATATGAAATTTAATTTTGAATTAAAGACGGATAAAGGTTTACAACATCGGATATTAAACATATCCATAAAAAATTTCTAAATGAGTGTCAAGAAAAATTACCAAAACTTAAATCATAATATCAATTTTTTTTGATAATTAATATCAAATGTTTACAATAATTTTAAAATATATATTTTTGTCCGTTTACATCATGGGATACCATTTGTTTTTTAAGTTAATTATGAGAAAGGCAAAGACTTATTATTCCTAGTTATACATATAAAAAATAACTAAAAATTGAGAATTCTGATTTCATGCATACCAAAGTATCACTATGTAATATGTTTGTTGTTTCTGGTAAAAAAACGACTATTCAACCTTAATTAATGATACTTTACTTTGGTCATTTGTTACTTAACATGATATCTTAATTGATGCACCGTAAGATGACATGTAGAAAAAGTAAAAAATTTGATACTTCAGATAAGCATATTACGTTAAAATATTGTAAATGCTTTTATTATAATTATTATTGATCATTAAATTTCTGATCACTATATATTATCCGAATGAGGTGGTCCGACTATAAGTATATTTGTAAATTGATTAAAACGCCAAAAATTGTAAAAATGGAATGATACATTTGCTTTGAGTTTTTAATTCTTTCTGTATAAATCATAAATAAAACTACCAAAAAGGTTATGTTTGGCCTATAATTTCATTACTAACTTATGGCGCAAATATATGTCGTACGACTCCTAATTATCGCTAGACAGAAACAATCTTATCAAATCAAAAGAATAATGGGTTTGTACATTGTCTCTGCTTTATACATTTATTTACGCATGCATGCATTGTTTTGTTTACGTTTTAAAATCCTAATTAATCTACAAATATTTCGTAAGATAAATATTTCTTGTTTCATAGAATGAAAAATTTAATGAGATTGTTATCCATAATCGTGTCTACTAAGTATAGATATATATAGATGTCAAATATATATTAATATATATGAAGTAAGCATTGTATTGAGTACGTCTACTACAAATCAATAATCTCATGAAGCAACGTTTAGTGTGGAACAATGAAACTACAACGATTAGTCATAGTAAAAAAAAAAAAAACCGTTTAGTCATGTAACTATTTTCATATAACATCTCATGATTTTTGTTTATATCTAATTCCGAAGGAGAAAATATCAAAGTATATCTCATATAAATATCAATGGATTGATGGAACACATGAATAAGAAAATTTGATGTCTAACCGAAAAACGAATGAATGTATGCATGTGTAATTCAAAAATATCAATACGTAATTGCAAAGGAGCAAACGATCGTGAAGGATTGCGTTGTCCTCATGATGTACAAAATAGGTTTGGTAGCCCAACTTATCAGTCCCACGTTGTTAGGTCCAAATGTATATACATTTATACACACTTCTATTTTTGTTCATGCATATTCATCATACAATCTAAATATATTGATTGGTGCTTAGATTACAACACAAAATCGAATTCTTGAATTAAATCCGTACATTTTCTCGAGTATACTAAAGTGGGTCAAGATATCACATAGCCGACACAAACAGTTTTTGGTCTATGCATATATTCGATCTCCATACCAAGTCCGATTCTTTATGATACGTACGTATAAATAATTTTCGTAACCACATGTCTAATTATGAAATAAGTTAGAATGAAAGAAGGAAATAAAAAGAGGATTAAAGGGGATGAATGTTAAGGGGCCACCACAGTACATATTAGGTCTTAAAAAGACAAGCTTAGCTGTTTCCTTCCTTTTAAAACCAATCACTTTGTTTGGTCTTAAAGAAAAGCTTTCTCATCATTTTAGGGTTTTCTCGCAAAAAAATCGAACATAATTTAATTTTTGTGTAATAGTAGTATATTCTGTTGCAGGTTGTAGTTCTGCATCCACTTAATTTTATTCCATTGCTTATGGTTATGATAGTTAGTGCACAATATATATTTGTTGGAATGTACGAGTATATATTTTGAGAAAGTGGAATCTAGCAGACGTTTGGAAGATCCAAATACAATGTATAAGGGTGATACTATCAAGTAAAGACGGGTGCCTAACTCAAAAGTGGTGGCTCCATGTCTCGTGAATGATTTGTTTTTGTATATATCTCTGGAGTTATGGACATTTTGGTCCGTCCATTCGGATCAAATATCAGAACGATGACAAATAAAATCTCTTTCTTAACTCAGAGTAGTAAAATTACAATTTCGATTCAGCATAATTTACTCAGTTTCCTCTAACCGGTTGCAACAACTTGTTTGAATTATTGCAATATGTTATCCAATAAAAATTTTACGATACTATAAACATAATCTGAATTTTATATAACATGAGCCAAACATAAAACATCTACCATATTTAGGTTGGTAACAAGAAAACAAAAGTTGTGATTATAATTGAATGCATAGTTGTGGACAAAAGCAATTTAATTACAAAAGACATATATACATATATACATATATGATATACCCATCAAAAGTTTTCTTCTGATAGATTAGCTCGGTAGGTTTGATTGGTTGTGATGATGCATCCATATACCATGGACATGTACATCTACACACACACATATATACACACATACATATGCAGTTACGTTGCAAAAAAATATCTAAGGTTGGTTGTCGATTGCTATCAGAAATGCTATAAATATCACATCTAGGGTTAGGGTTAACAGCTGAGGTCTTCTTGTAATTGTTTTGATTCTTTCAGTCCCTAACTATTTCCAACCGTAGAAATTAAAGTAAAATAACAAAAACATATTATATATTTTTCTCTTCTTCTTTAATATATAGGCATTATTACAAGTTTAGATTTCATAAAAAAAACAATCAATAAGAAGAAGGAGCTAAGAGGAGAATTGAAGAGAGGAAGCATGAGGAAGCGTCAGGTGGTGTTGAGGAGAGCCTCGCCGGAGGAACCTTCTAGAAGCTCGTCGACGGCTTCGTCTCTGACGGTGAGAACTGTGAGATACGGAGAATGTCAGAAGAACCACGCAGCGGCGGTGGGAGGTTACGCCGTAGACGGCTGCCGTGAGTTTATGGCAAGCCGAGGCGAGGAAGGTACACTGGCAGCACTAACGTGCGCCGCCTGTGGCTGCCACCGCAGTTTCCATCGAAGAGAAATTGAAACCGAGGTTGTTTGCGACTGTAATTCACCTCCTTCTACTGGAAATTAGACAAGAAAGATCTAGAACTAGCTAAGAGTGTGTTTGTGTCTTTATGTGTTACATATACAGATGAATCTGAAAATATTATATTTGCTTCTTTTTTTTTTCTTCTTTAATATTAAGGGCTTGTGTTTCTTTGTGAATTTATTAAGAAACAATAAGAGATTTATAGATTGGAGGTGGTGGAAGCAGTGAAAGATTTATTATAATTGGATGCTTTTGGGGTTTGAGAATGTTTAGGAAAAGGTTAGGCTTCTGAAGTGAAATATTAAGATTATTGTTTTTTTTAATGTAATATATTGTTTGATTTCTTTTCTGTTTGGGTCAAATTATTGTCGAAGCTGACAAAGCATATGTCGTTTCAATTCAATGTCCACTTAAGACAATGGTTAAGTGTATTGTGAAAGGAATTTGTAACAAATTTAATATGTGTATTTACTGATGAATGAATGAATGATATTGATTGTTCCTTAACATATATGGAATGTTTCTGTCTTGTGATAAGGTAGATGAGTTTAGTAACACAATAACTAATTCAATTATTCATTATTAAGAAAGAAACTAAACTAAACATATATATATATATATATATCAATATAATATAAATCAATATAAATCTTTTTTTGGGAGGGAATGAAAAAAGGTTTAAATTGATCCTTTTGAGACCACTCCTATAGCTTTATTTTTAAAATAGAAATGGTGGAGTTAAGTCTCACACTATTTCCCATGATTATCTTAAAGTAATATATCATAGATTAATGTATTTACTTTATGTGAAGTGCATGTTAACTCGAGGCCGATTAGATTATTTAAGCTCAGAATTTCTTAATATTGCTATGATGAAAACCATTTTTTTCAGGGATATGCCTTCCCAGCTCTTAATTTAAGATAGCATATATTTAAATATTCTAACCTTTTGGCTTTAACAGATATATTTTTCAAATTTTATATGACATGATAAAAAGATAGGCAAATAAATTTGAATTTAATTGGGAGGCAGAGGCCCACAAATCTAATCCTTGTTGGTTGCTAACTTGCTATGATGGAGAAAAATTATATTTTAATTGATTTATTAAAAAACTGTTAAGAATAATGATCATACATGGTAATGGCTTGTGATTTTCTGATGTTTAGTGTTTTAGAGAATCATAAATAGGTCGCAATTAATCTCAATAAATAAATACTCCATAAAGTACAGTAAACCAACGAATAAACAAAGAAATGCCACATAAAAATGAACAAAAGTTCTACTTCCAAAAAGATATGTATTATTGTCAAATTTAGTTTGTTAAACAATTCAAAATTAACGAAAACAAATGAGGAAGTTAGATATCTTCATACGCAAAAAGTTGGATATATTTGGCTGGTTAATAGTTTTGAAATGACATGTGAAATGTATCATCATGAACGTACAATGTTAGGTATTTGAGTATGGAGAGAAACAATTCCTTCTGCATATGTTAGTAACATTGTACCGAACTTGGTCCGGCCAATGTCGATTTTTATTTCCATAAATTATTTTTATATATCAAACAAATTGAATAGTAAATATATAATATCTCTTTATATATTAGAGAATATGCATTATATAATAATGTTTTACTCTCTTCTTGATCCTATATAACAACGTTTTACCCTCTTCTTGATCACAGGGGTAAACTTTTCTATTCACTCCTACTTTTTCTAGCCAATAAGAATCTGTCACCTATCACCTAGTAAATATATAAAAATATATATATATATATATATATATATATATATATATATATATATAAGTTATATATCAGTTTGCTTTTATAAGAGAGGGTTAGAGTTTACATTTTATAACAAAACAAGGTTAATTTTCGGTTTGAGTTTATAATGAAGAATTCGAGTTTATATTTTAGACTTAATAAAGTTTTATGTCGGGTTGGGTTTATAAGGGATGATTAGGATTTATATTTTACAATTAACGAGGTTAGATGTCGGTTTAGGTTTATAAAAGAGGATTAGGGTTTAGATTTATAACTAAATGAGATCATATGTCGGTTTGGGTTTATAAAAGTGGTTATGGTTTAGATTTTACAATTAAATGTGGTGAAATGATTGTTTCGGTTTTATAAAAGAGTAATTAGATTTGATTTTACAATAAAATGCGTTAAAAAAAGAGGTGAATAAAAGGATTCACCCCTAGTGGTGAACACAAGAATTGTTCTATAAAAGAAGGATAACAAAATCGTAAATAAGTTTATTTATTTATTGAATGTGTTTTTTTAAAATGATTTTGTGTGTATTAACAAATATTATGTTATTTTATCTACTCACACATTAATTTACATGATAGTACTATATTATTTCTAGAAATCATGCACGAAATAACCATCACTTATATACAGTTTTGTTGGGAAAAGGGCGTAATTCAACCTGAACAAATTGCAAAGTGCGTTTTTATACCTCAACAAAGATATAGTGCATTTTTCAATCCCAACTCTAAACAAACTAAAAAAAAACTACCCAAACTATTAGATCCGATCCGAGCGTAAAACTACATTGACTTAAACAAAATTAGTCAACTATTTGTTTTCGCTCATTTAACCGACACGATAGTAAATTGTTTTGCCAATTTTGATCAAAATTTTGGTTATCAAACAAATAAAACAATCCCTTTGTTGACAAAAAAAATATATTCTCTCTGTTTCATTTTAAGTGATGTTTAAAGTTTTTGCATACATATTAATTAAGAAATCAAAATTTTTTATTTAATTTTGCTCTTTTACATAAAAACATCATTAAATATACATCTAATTCAACCAATAAGAAAATATATTGTAAAATATCATAGGTTAAAAAAACTTATATATATTTTATTTTTATATAGAAAGTTGAAAACACCACTTAAAACAAAAACAAAAAAATTTCTCTAAAACATCATTTAAAATAATATAGAGGGAGTATATACTAATTGAGAAAAACTTTATCGAAATAATAAGTTTTAAGATTTTCAGTGCATGCCATGATCATGATGACCACATTAGGAGGTAAATAAATTACATACTTTATCTATTTATAAACAATGTATTTTCTTAGAGTTTCACACATATTAAGAAAACATATTAAAAGATGATTATAAAATGTATTATTTTTTGTGGTTTACAATTTTCTATAATTCTAAACCAAAATTATTCAATTTTTTTTTGAATTTTACAATTCGTCAATAATAACTAATAAATATTGCATAGAAAACCTAAAACAAGTTTTTCCTAGAAAATACATTATTTAGAAACAGAGGGAGTACTAGTTTTTGGTTTTGATTCTCAAGAACCTAATTTATTACCCATTCAAGACTTTTCAGAAATAGCTTTCCTAAAAATTAAGAAATCGAGATTTTAATATTTTTTTAAATTATTTAAATGAGCCAAAAACCATAATTTATGAGAATTTGGAAGCTGGCCGTGTTTTTTGTTTAAAAGTCTTTTTTGGATGAAATGAGTAATTGATTTATCAACTTTAAAGACATTTACAAAAGTCGTTGCTCCTATGCTTTGAAAAGAGATGTAAACCAAGTTAGCGAATGAACAAATTTGAGAAGACAAAGATCACAGAACTTAAAGAGGAGGCCCAAGTGTTCCCTTTTATCTCCTTCCTATCAATGAAGGTGAAGTCTCAAACCAGCATTGTTTCGGTCTTTCGTGGCCTTTTTCTCTCTCAGATTTCAAGGCTTCTCCTTGATTAGGTGATCGGGTTGGTTAGGTTATATGTTCTGATCTTCTTGCTTTGCTGTCTTCGTTTCTACTATGGAAGTGGTTGTGTGAGCTCGAATTAGTTCCCTTTTCGGGCCATTAGTTTATCTGAAGGCAATCAAATTTTGGGTTATTTCTGAGGCTCGTGTCAGTAGCCCTTCTTCATCGCCAAACTGTTCTATGGAAGTGTTAGTCGGTTGCTCGTAAGGAAGAGTTATCAGTGTTGTTTTTTTGGAGTTCTTTAGCTATTATTCCTTTAGCTTTTCTTCTTAGGCAGTTCTTAACTTTCTCCAAATGCGAGGCTTTTGGCGATGTGGACTGGAGGAAAAACTATTTTAAAACTAATTTTTTAAAAGGTTTGCTAATAGATTAATAAACCAAAATCTAAGATAAAATCTACATCAAATTTTCGGTTTCTATTTCAAAAAGTTAAAATCGAAACAAAATTAAAAAAAAAAAACTCAAAACCAAAACCCGAAAACCAAAAACCATTTTTAAAACTATAAATAGTCATGGTCTTAGTTCAAAAATATTTTGATGGGTGTGAAGATGCTAATTGTTAAAAAGAATTAATTTAGTTATATATAGTATTAAATTGGACTTCTCTTTTTATGTAACCCATACACATACTAAATAATTAAGCATGTTTGACTTGGAACAATGTAAAGATAAATGCCATGTTACGGAATGATTTAAAGTATTTGTACGAATGAGCACATAACACATGTAAACTATCTTGTAGTGATATGTTGGGCTAGTGAACAAGATATGTCGAGTAGGAAGAGGCTACCATTTGATCCAAATATATAGATCTGAACATTTAATTGAGGAGGCAGAACCTCAAAACAATGACAGATCTGGAGTCGCTCGTGCTAACGGATTGAGAGTCGTTCGTGCTGATAACATGTTGAATATTATATAATATTATAAAAGTAATAAATTTAATAAAGAAAAAGAAATAGACGAGAGAGAGCAAGAGACTTTTTATTATTGACTTATTTTTTTCTCTACATCTTTACTTCTTCAATGGACATATATATAGGAGACGTAATGGATAAGCTATACAACAAACTTGGGGAATGAGTTACCCGAAACTCGCAGACAAGACACAAAGTCATCTTTTTCATCTAACTATACACATATTAGATGGATTCCTCACCATAAAACCCTTCTTTTTTCCTTGAAGAATTACTCATAGCCACCTTTTCTTTAATTTTACTTTTATCACTCCCAATCTTCCCTTCACTTTTACTACTATCTCCTCCATCACACCCATAGAATCAATAACATTTTCAGACCCACCACCTAATTT